TGCTACATCACTAGCAAAAACACAAGATGGATTTTCACCAAATTTGAAGGATATGTTTGAGAAGCTAACAGCTCTGCAGGGAGGCAGTCAAAAACTAATGGGGTTGGGAGCCTGAACACTTCAAAGAAAAGGTGGGCATCCTCAGAGCGGCTCTTCCGGTGGGCAATGCTACCATGGCCTGACCCACAGGGAGCAGCGACAAAAAGATATTTATTTAATAACAGATAACAGCTGCCAAGCAAACCTGGAGAGGCCTGGCTAATGCCATGAATCATCCCCAGTAACAGTGACCACTGGGCACTCGATGCCAGGCAATGCATCTCAGCCCTCAAAACAGCTATGCACAGTAAATACTATGAGCTACTGTTCTCATTTTGCAAATCAGGGAACAGAAATGTTTACTAATAAGCTGACCAGTGCAGCAAACCAGCATTCAACAGGTTAAACAAGGATTCAATTCAGGCTGTCTGGTGTCAAAGTCCAAATCCATTATACTTACTTAACCCACACCACTGGGTAAATACCAGTCCTAGGGGAGATAAAAGCCACCATGGGGCTCCGCTGGGAGCAAGCTATAAATAGGAACTACAGGTGCTCCTGTTGACTTGAACTTGAACTCCAACAACTCCCCTGGTGTCCACTACAGCATGTATGCATTCTGAAGTCTAAAACCTCACCCCCACCTGGCTTAAACTGGGACAGTACACACTCCAAAGCCTGACAAGTCATGGAGGTGAAGGGAGGTTATCTCGACTCCGGTAAAAGGTAAAGTAGTTTTGAGCGTGTTCATTTAGAATTCCAAATATAATTTTCCACAGAGGTATTCCTGTGTGATACTCATAGGTCACAAACACTAATGTGGGATGCCATAAAACATCATTTCTTTGAGGATGTGTATAAAGAACTTAAAAACAACTGTTTCACAAATGATTTTTTAGGGAGCAACTTCCCTTAGAATTTCAGTTATTTTTGACTATCCTCTCCATTTTCTCTTCATCTTTCGTTTTTCCTGAGCTCAGCACTAGGTCTGATGCTCCAACAAGGTGTATGCATCACAGGATCCCCAAGTCTTTACGTTCCAGACTGCCTGTGCTCTAATCTTGTCGATGCCTCCAAATTCATGCCACTTTCTCCATGAAGGAACCCAACGCACACCCTCCAGTTTATCTCGTATTCTGTGTTTTATTGCCTGGAGCAGAACATGGACACCATCCTTCAAAGACTTTGGAACAGAAATGTTACAATGAAAATTTAAATGTCAAGTTAGTCAAAAAACACAAAACACAGACCATTAGTACGTTCTGTAGCGGAGACATGGAGATGAGGATAGATGCTCTTAAGATGCAGTGGAGGGTAAACCCAACCCGAGTGCCAACAGGGAAGCAAGCAGAGAAGGTTCACCCAGGAAACTGTGATGTCGGCACAGGGATCCAGAACCTCCGCTGCCGACGTCGCCCACAAATGGAGCCCTCCCTCAGTGGCGAGCCAGCCTCTTCTGCTCCTGCCGGCCCGGTCCTAACAAGGAGCCCTCAAATCAAGACCTGAAGAAGTAAACAGGATGGCTCAGAAAGCTCTGCCTGCTGGGGGGAGGGGAGGAAACGGAAAAGGAGGAATGCTAAAACCAAGGAGGAAAGGTGCCAAAGGGAAGGCAGGCCTGCGCGGCACAGGTGGCGAGGACTTCCCGTCTTGGCCGCAGGTGGCCCTATAGAAACCGCGGCTCCGCAAGCCTGGTCAGCGAAACGCCCTAGCGGCGGATCACCTCCCTCACAAAGGTCGGTGTTGGAACATGTAACCCTGTTACCGATGACCTGCTCCCAGAGGATTTCTCCCTGAGCACTTCGCTGTTGGTCCAAACCACACATGCAACTCGGTGTCTGTCTCTCTGCATAGTAACGCTCCATTTCGACTTCCCTAATCTGGCCATTAAGACTGCCAACGTGTTACATGCTAGTCTATTAACTCTCATTGTTTCAAAGAGTCTAAGTCATGTCCTGTGTCAGAGAGGGCTTGCCACAATATACACATAACACAATTCCTTCCACCACCACCACCCTTGGTCAAGAATAACTAGGTACATTTTTATTTTATTTATAAAATGATGCATCATTTCTAATGGGGCAAAGGTGTGTCCTGCGGTATGTCCTCAGTATTCAACTGCTTCTGGAAGTTTTCCACGTATCTAACAACACCGACATCACACAGATGAACTGTAGGGAACCTCTTCTTCAATGTGCCACACTTTAACGAATTCTTCAGGTAACAAGGTCCTTTGCTATACCTTCTTAGCTTATGCATGATACTCAGAGGAAGACAAGTAAGAAATTTACTGAATGTCCTACCTCTAAAAGCAATCAAGCAATACCTTCTGTCTAGGCCTCTTTGCTCCTCCATGTTCCTCATGATAACACCCAACTCAAAGCCTCTCTCTCCACAAACTCCTGCATCCGAAGAATGCTCAGCAATCACCAGACACTTCCTTCGGCACTAACTCCTGAAGGTCACTAGCAGGCCCAGCCGTGGCCTCTCCAACCAGACTTGGGGGAAGTAGAGAACATCCATCCTTTCTTTCCAGAACTTCCACAAAGTACACAGGAAACTGTCTACAATAAAGACACCTCGTGGATCTGGTCCCTGTGATTCACACATCCCACACAGAAACCAGCAAAGGTGGCCCAGAGACTGGCCCAACTCCACAATTCACCTCACTACCCATGAAGTAGCAGTGAGCAGGGCCAACCTACCTGTCACCCGATATTATGAAGTAAACGTCACTAAGCTAGCTGGCGTAGACAAACCGGAAATGGTAACTAAGTATGAACATAATTTTGAGCTACTTCCACTAGAATTACATCATGAAACAGACATTGGTGATTACTAACAGAAGAAAAATAGACAGTCCTCATATGCCTTCAATTCACAATGTGTGACAGGCCAAGGCTGTTTCTAATATGAAGAGATTGTAAGCCTTCTCAACTCAGCTGGTAACAATTTTTAAATATATGCCACCTGCACTTAACACAGATTTCTAACTATACAGCTCACTTGGAAAAAGCTACATATCTCAAGAGTACACATTATTTTAAATGTAAATGGCAAAAAAAAAAAATATATATATATATATGGTCCTTCAAAGCTATGCTACATGAACCATGAACTTCTAGGAAGAAGCTGACTTTGGGGTGCTTTCAATTTAGACAGACAACACATTTTGGAGAGGGAAGCCGCCAGTGCATTATCCAGGCCGCGCTCATTATTTCACAGATGGGAGGGTGACAGCTAGAAAGCTGGCCAGAGTCAAAAACCCAGAGACCCAGGACCGCACAACGTGAGGGAGTGCTCCTTTGTTCTGTTAATCTGCTCAAGGAGGATGTATGTCAACATCTCTCCAAATGCTGAGGTGACATTTCAAGCAATACCTCCTTTCATTCTCTTCCTTTACTAAAATAAAATTACAAAGAAAAGGCACTGTATCGGCTCCCTCTTCCAATCCCCTGAAACTGCTCCTATTTCCTCAAAAATAAATGCCAGTAACATGTATTTCAATTTTAAGATGCAGCTCACCAGCCCATTATATTAGCCAACACCTAACTGTTCATTTTCCATTCTAGTTTATTTTTTATTCATACATCAGAAATGCTCCCTGTTAGTTAACTGATCACTATTGTAAAGAAGTGGACAAAGCCATTGGGGGAGGGATGTACTAAGACCAACGAAGGCCCTTTTCTCGCCCCCACGCGCTACACAGCTGACTGCCGGTTGTATCTGCTTTTCTACATTTTACTGCTCCCTCCCATACTGACAGGCTTTGCCTATTGTCACCTCTCACTACTGTCAATGGTGGGTTGTGTCCAACTCTACTTCTAAATGGGTTTAGAAACTAAATACTCCAATGTATTTGAATAGCAGTCAAAGTAAGAGTAATTTGTTCCCAGTGAGAGTCTATAAATCCAACCCATACATTTTAAGTTATCAATTCTAGTTGCTTGAAAGTAAAACGATCTCCTGTTCTCATCCATGTTTTCAGACTGAGCTAATACCGGGTGCACAAGGTGTTAATGTACTTTGCCTGTCCCAGACTTTTTTCTCTTGAAAACACCTAGCCTTTCTGAATTTTATTTTATACCACCTTCTGATCAGATTCTTTCTAGGCACATGTGAAGCTTGTATCTAAAAAGTTTTCCTAAAATTAATACTCTTTTATCTTGAATCTTTCTACCGTTACTTAGGAAACTGAACGTTATAGTAATTTACACTAAGATTGATACTTCCTGAACAACATTAGCAGCTACTAATTCTAACCAAAAGACCATGTTTTCTAAGATGATCATTACAATTAACATAATGGTGCTCATTAAGACTCAAAGACATTAAAATATAATAAAGTTTCATACTACTTCTTATGGAATAAGTCTTTAAAAATATTTCAAAAATCTATACATGGTCTATCAATCTCAATTCCAAATAAAATTAATTTCTAATATGAAGAAAATGTTAACAGTTTTAAGCAGTTGGGTCAATTATGAAAAATTAAAACTCTTAAGGATGATCTGTAATGCCAGCATGACAGGTTTAAATTAGGGAAGAAATCTCTGAAATCTAGACAAACCACTCAGAAAATAAACTTGAAACGTGACGTATGTGCCTACATATACCCGTGTGCCCAGGTTACGCTAACAGCAACAACCAGCATGACATTAAATCAGATGCTATTTCAAAAACAGAACACATTCAGATAAAGAAAATTAACAAACGCATCTAGTAGGATTCCATGCCTTCATATAAAAACCTCTCTATTCCATGCAAAAACTCCATGACATTCCATGATCTTTAAAAAAAGAAAATCAAATTCCACATGAGATACATAAAAAGGAAAAAGAAAAACATTGCAAGCCATCAAAAGCCCTCCCCACACCTGAAAGAATATGGCCTTCGTGTAGGTTACGGTCCCAACGTCCCTCTAGATTCCAGTTACCTTCCCGTCGTCACTTTGTTCCACCTACCTTTCTTCTCTGAGAGATGTTGAGGGCACCAAAGTCATTAAACAAGGATGAAGCAGGTGAAGTTAGAGCATCTGGAAGGTAAGTTACATAAGTTTCCAAATAGACAACTCAGGTAACCCACAAATCTAATACATGACAAGGCCTCTAATAATAACAGAAAGCACACGCTGAGGACTAACTCAATGCGGTGCCTCACACACTCTTAATGGTCGAGTACTCTCTTAGTGAGTACAACACAATTAGAGGCTTCATTCAGCCAGCACTCAGTACCTACTTATTACGAAGCTACAAGGATTAGGACGTCTGCTTAGAACCAAAGGAAAAATCAGAGAAAAAGAACTTTTAGCCATGTTATTGCCAGTATGTATTTATGAAAGAAGTTAAGTGTACCTACAATATATAAATGCATTCTTAAGAGTTAAATCATGAAAAGGATTTTTTTTTTTTAAAAAAAAAGGAGGGCTGTCAACCACAATGAGATCTGGACTTGGTTTAAGGCTTTAAAACCATCTACTCTACAGATTAACCTGTATTACTTACTTTGTCACCAGGTATTTGAAATTCTTGATAGAAAGATAATTACTTAGTTTTTAAGGATGGAACTGTTAAATGTTTTCAAAACATGACCACAAAATCCAACTATTTTACAGGCTCAAAGTTGGATGCTCTACCTTCTGAAGTTACAAACAAAGTTGCATCTACAAATGTCTGGGAAAGATTATGCATGAGATACACTGTAATATTTTATCTTCTTTTCTGGGCTTTAGTTAATCTTTTGTTTTGCTGTCTCATTAAATTATCTGTGAAATTCTAAACAAAGCATTCAACGAACTCATTTACAGGCACCTTGCATCTCTTCACACTGGAGTACATGTAGGTTGGGACTCAATTTCTCTGGCTTTTTCTGCCTGGATTTTCATGATCTAGACTTTCATTAGAGTATTAATTTTATTAATAATATTAATATACTAGTATCATAATAACCCAAATTATGAACACAAGTATGACAATATTAAAATTAGTTTATATTAAGTAACCATGACATGCATGCAATGTGAAAGCTATTCAAATAGCAAGAAATAAAAAATATTTTTATACAACTTATACATTTAATGTACTCAATATAATAATAATTAAAATAATATTTAAAAGTCAGCATTTAAACTATACAGTAATACTAAAATTATTATACCGTTACAAATTAGCTTAATCATTTCATTCAATATTAAAATGTTGCTAGTTTTTTCAAAAGCAAAAGAAACAAAGGATGAAACTTCCAGATAATGAGGGAGATATGATACACAAACAGTGTCTACCCAGGAAATCATACTGTGCACATTCTTACTCTCGCATCTCAAATTCTACTGATGCCGGTGCATTAGTGCTCACCTGTTAGGTATGTAGCAAAAACCATCCTTGAATATGTATCCTTAAAATAGGATACAGAAAGACATCTACAAATTCTGTATCAAAAGACTTACAAATATCCACAATCTTGGAAACAGTAATACCAATTTAAATAACATACTCAAGACAAAGAACCCAAAATATGAACACAAATTCACACACACATGCAGTGAACTGCAACAGTTTAAACAGGAAAAAAAGGAAAAGGAACAGTTAAGGAAACTATGGAACAAAAACATGGATTCAATTTGTAACAATGGACACTCGTAACATAAAGGATGTTTACCATGATATATGTGTATACACACACAGACACACATATTTTTTTAAAAGGAGAGAATCTAAATCTAACAGTTATCTCTGAGTGGAAAAAAAGAGAGATCTTAATTTTCTTCTTTGTACTTGGCTGTATTTTCCCAACTGTCTACCATGGGTAAGGTACTGATTTTGGAGTCAAGAAGCACAAGCGGGGTGAGTCTTACCATGGCCTGCGTATGGCTTGGCACTGTCATTGAGAAGGCTTGGGGAGCTGCTACTATTAGTCATTCTCTGGAAAACAAAATACAGATACATCCCATCACTGAGGAACACAGGACGCTGGGTGCTCCGCCCCTGAGCTAAGGCCCATCCCCTCCAGCCCATGTTTCAGGTGACTGACAAACACATCTTCCTTCATATGCCTGGATCACAGCAATCTATGCAAAACCTTCCACAGACTCCCTGCAACACATCAAACAAACATTTACTCACTAGCCAGTAATTTTAAGCCCAAGTTGCAGACCTATTTTGAATTCCATTTATGTAACTTATCACCCTGGGCAAGACACGCAGCCTCTATGTCCCCACAGATTCCTTACATCTCTGGAATAATAAGATTCCGTAGAGGAATACAGTTCCAATATCCATTCAAGAGATCATGATACGGATAAACCATGTATAAAATCAACAAATGCTCTCAGATCCTCTCCCAAAGCATTTTATCCTTCACACACCTTACAGATCCTATACAACTGGGCTATTCACTGCTCTCTAAATAAGCCCCAGGCTTTCCCAACTAACTCCATCACCTCTGTGGTTGCTCCATCCTGGAAGGCCGGCCCTTCATCCCAGACCCACAAGTCCTTGTTTCACATTATGGTATCTAACCCAGTGCCTTGAAAAGTATGCCACGAACTCTGGATTCAAATTCCAGCTCCGGCTTTAACTCTACAGCCCTGATCGTGGTGACTCAACTTCTTCAGTTCAATTTCTACATAATTTTTTTTTAAGTGGGGTAAGGATTGTCTAAAGATGACTTAGATACAAGGACACATATGAAAAGTGCTTGAAATTGTGGCTCATGGAGTGGACAGTCAAAAAATATGTATAACTATACATAAACTAAGAGCTTTGGTGGCACTGTGGTTAAAGCATTGGGCTGCTAACCAAAGGTCAGCAGTTCCAACTCACCAGCTGCCCTGTGGAAGAAAGATGAGGTAGTCTGCTTGCATGAAGACTGACAGCCTTAGAAACCGCATGGGGCAGTTCAACTCTGCCCTATAGGGTCGCTATAAGCTGGAATTGACTCGATGGCAATGGGTTTATACATAAACTAGTTTTTAATTATTCACTAAAAACTAATGCAGTTTTTGGCTATGCATGTTTACTTATGATTCAAATGAGTCAGAGTGTGACTATCTACATAGAATCTCAGTTTTCATACAAATAAGAGTTAAAGTTGTGCAGAAAAGCACTGGTTTCCTATATCCCCTTAAAATCAGTCCAACTTAAAATTTAAAAAACCCACTTGTATTAACAATCCCTTTACAATAATACAAGCTCTGATGGTACAGCAGCTAAGGCATTTTGGCTGCTAATCAAAAGGTAGGCAGTTCAAACCCATCAGCCATTCCATGGGAGAAAGACGAGGGAGTCTGCTTCTGTAAAGACTGACAGCCCTAGAAACCCTGTGGGGCAGTTCTACCCTGTCCTCTAGGGGCGCTGTGAGTCGGAATAGACTCCATGGCAGTGGGTGTGGTTTGGGCTTTGCTTCCATAAAGACTGACATAGCCTTGGAAACCCTGTGGGGCAGTTCCACTCTGTCCTCCAGGTACGCTGTGAGTCAGAATCCACTTGATGGCAAATGGTTTGGTTTTTCTTGGTTACTGTAATAATGGACAAAATAGTGCATCACAGAAACCAGAAAAAACAACACCCCATCTGTATTATGATGGCAGTTTTCCAATGAGTAACAGTGGATTATCTTTCAATTTTACTACCATTCTACAAAATTCTACCTTTCCAATCTAAACAGATACAGTAAACAAGAATGTCTCAACATTGCATACAGTCATTGTGATAAAGAAGAGAAACCTGGTAAAAAGAACAAAGTAGGTAAAATAAACAACTCAAAAATATACACTAATGTCAAAGGTCCCTCAAATACTGAGACTCTAAATTTAGAGGCAATGAAATTTCTGGACTAGAACTTCGGAAGGAAGGTTGGGCAATCTATTTCCATAGCGATACTGCCTCAGAAACCCAAGAAGGGGTCGCTATGAGTCAGATCCAACTTGACAGCAATGAGTTTGAGTTTGGATTAGAACTCAAGAAAGAGTTAGTGAATAAAGTAGTGACATCAAGTGGTGCGAATTAAACTTTTAAGCTGAATAAAATCAAACAAAACCAGCAATATGCTTTTATATGCAAAGCACCTTCCTGAAAGGACACACAGGGAGCTAGTAAGTAGGAATGGTGGCTGCCTCTAGAAAGGTTAACTAAGAACGGGGTTAACCAGGGTGAGAGATGGGAAGGAATTTCACTCTTCATCACACACCTTTTGTAACTTTCAACTTTTATAACATATGATGCACCATCTACTTAAAAAGTCCATTAAAATCTGCCTTCATCAATATTAAGTTTAATTCACACACAAACACAGAGAGGAGTGGAACTAGTAACTACCTTCTCCACTGACGTCCCACCCCAATCTCTAACCTTCGAAGTTTTCATTGACTCCACCCTACAGGAGATGGCTTACCTATAACCCGTCTCTTAAAAATCTCACTTCTGCTCAAGAAATGTAGGAATGAATCAAGATGCCCTAGATGTCCTCAGCCCCTGGAATAAACTTCACCGTTGAGTGCAATATAAATCCATACTAACAATACCTGCATCAAAGGATATTTTGTTTCTACTGGGCTTCCAAATCCATTGACTCCAATAAAGCTGCTGCTGAAATAGGAATCTGTGAGACTAGTATCAGTTACAGCACCTCCATCTATCCCAGGAACTGAAAGAAAAGGAAAAGGCAGTATTTAAAATGATTACGAGGACAAAACATTAATTTAGTCTCTGTGCTCCTAAAATACTTTTAAAGTTTTTACCTATCTTTATCATACTTCTTTTACTGACCTGTTCGTAAACAAAAGGTAGCACAAAAACAAAAACACAAAACTGGCTCCACTCTAGAAATTCGTTACAGCAGCACTCACATTGGCTCCATTTTTCCCACAGAGGTAGTCACTTACATTAGTCACCTAAAGCCACCACCACCATCATGAAGAAAACACACTTGCATCTCCAGCTTCCTCATCAAGTTTTCTTCCTCTAACTTCTGAGAGCAAAAGACGGGATACGAACCACTGTGACTTCGCCTGGGAATCGTCACATGGTCACCAGGCAAGTTTCTCAGGACTGTTTCCTAACACATCCCTCAAAAGAGACCAGCTGTCTCACACAAACTCCTAATTCAGGAAAAATAATTCTGCACAGGTAGCAACAGGATGGAATGTTCAGGAATACTGATAGCTCTCTGCTGATTTCAGGGTGGATAACAGAAAGACTGTAACTAATGGGCAACCTATCCTGTTTCAACAAAGTACTGGGCAATGTGATTTATTTCTCCTAATATTCTATTGCATTTTTGGTGACCCTTTACACAAGTCAGATTCCCATTTGACAATTTCCACACGAAATGATCAAAGACATTACTTACATTTTTCACAACGTATCAAAATTTTCTGTGTGTTCTGGTTGTTCCATTGCTAGTACTCTAGTCTCTCTGCCCCTTGGCTTCTCCTCATTGACCTACACTAAAAATGTTGACCTCCTGGACTCATACAGATGGTTTTTTGTTTTGTTTTCATTTTTACTGTGATTTGGGTGAAAGTTTACAGAGCAAACTCATTTTCCATACAGCAGTTCATATACATTTTGTTTCATGACATTGACTGCAATTCCCCACAGTGTAACAGCTCTCTTCCCACTTCCTCCCCGTAGATACCTCTTCCCTGTGTCCTTCCTTCCCCTTCAGCTGTTTTCCTGTGCAAACACCGCCCTTCTGTTAGCTCACGACTGATCACTCCAAGGAGTGTAGCTACCTGACGTAAATGTTCCTCACATATGCCCATCTCTTGTTTGGCTGGAACCACAAGAGTGAGTTTAGTTCCAGACCTGAACTAGGGGCCATAGTCTCAGGGGTCTCACCAGGCTCCATGAAACCAGACCAGCAAACCTGGCCTTTGCTTTATGATTTTTTTGCTCCACATTGTTCTCCCACTCCATCCAGGATCTCTTGCACCGATCCCACGCTGAGTGGTTGACAGCGGTAGCCAGGCACCATCTAGTTCTTTTGGTCTCATGGTCATATAGGTTGAGGATCACATGATCCACTAGTCCCTTGGACTAATTGTTTCCCTATGTCTTTGGTTTTCTTCATTCTTCTTTGCTCTGGGTGAGGAGAGACCCACTGTTGCACGTAGATGGCCACTTAAAAGCTTTTAAAACCCCAGTCACTACTCACCAAAGTAGGATGTAGAACAATGTGTTTTTGTGTAACACGTTATGCCAACTGAGCTTGACGTCCCCTGCGACCATGGTCCTAAGCCCACACGTCCAATTATTTGCTGGACTCCTATAGATGGTTTTTAGTACAGCACTGATCTTACAGGCAATATCCTTTATTCTTTGTGTCACTCTGCTCTTCTGCTAAAAGGCAATCTCAGGTGATAGACTGGCTCAAGGTTTAAAGAGTGTCTCAGGGTGATAGTCACAGGGAGTCCTCTGGTCTCAGGTGGTCCAGTTAGTACGGCCTTTTTTTTTCTCCCCCCAAAAAATTAGAGTTTTGTTCTACATTCAAGACCATCTAGTGTGACCTCGGTCAAATTGGTCAGTGATGGTAGGTGGGCACCATCTAGTTCTTCTGGTCTCAAAGTAGCTGAGGTCATGGTTCATGTAGGCTGTCACTCTTGTAGACTGGTTTCCTCTTGAGTCTTTGGTTTCCTCTTGAGTCTTTGGTTTCCTCTTGAGTCTTTGGTTTCCTTCTTTCTCTTTTGCCCCTGATAAGTAGAGACCAATAAATGCATCTTAAATGGCCGCTTGCAAGCTTTTAAGACCCCAGACGCTATTCACTTCACTAGGATGCAGAACATGAACTTTGTGAACTACATTATGCCAACTGAGTGGTTCCATGACACTGTGGTCCTAAGCTTTCAATCCTAGAAAACCAATCATAGAAGATGTTTGGTTATGTCTGAGGAGTTAACCGTAGTTGTGTGTACAATGAATAAATGTGCCTGCCCACACATATCTGTAGGAGCTCTGGTGGCGTATTGCCTGAGGCACTTGACTGCTGGTGATTCAAACCCACCAACCACTCCTCGGAAGGAAGGTTGGGCAATCTATTTCCATAGTGAGAGTGCCTTGGAAACCCAAGGAGGGGTCACTATGAGTCGGGTTCGACTTGATGGCACATAACAACACATATCTGTTTACACTTAAAGACAGGTATTTCTGTCTGTTCTCACATACGTATACACCTGTACCTCTGTATATGTATACGCCTATACCCATCCACTTGTGATCCTAGACTCATATTCTGGTCTTTGTTGGACTTGGGGCCATCTTACAAACATCAGACTCTTTAGTACAGGCATCCTTCTCCCATGAGCACATCTCGCAACATTATCTATGTGGGTCATGCTGCACTCACCTCATCTACACTCAGTGCCACCTTTCCTATTACCGATAATAACAAGCATCGAGGATCTAAAGCATGCTGCCCCTCGCTCCTCTTTGCCCTGGTACCAACCAACAAATATCAACCAAAACCCACTGCCATTAAGTCCGTTCTGACTCACAGTGATCCTATAGGACAGAGGAGTGCTTCCAAAGCTGTAAATCTTTATAGAAGCAGACTGGCTCATCTTTAGCCCACGGAACAGCTGATAGGTTCAAACCAATGATCTTTTAGTTAACAGCCAAATGATTTAACCACTACACCACCAAACCTCCTCAGTGAGTATCAGTCTCTTTATATTGGTCTATTCTTGTTTTCTTATAAAAGAGGGACCCGACAATATTGGTCCTTATGTGCTTGACTTTATTTCACTCTACGTTGTGCCCTGCAGGTCCATTCGTGTTACAATGTTTCAGAGACTCATCACTGTTCTTTACAGCTGCAGTCTTCCACTGTATGTCTGCACCACATTTTGTTTATCCATTCATCCACTGAGGGGCACTTTGTTTTGTGTTTTCCCTTTTCCTATTATGAACAAAGCTGTGATGAACATAGGTGTGCACATGTCTGTTTGTGTCACTACTTCTAGATCCCCAGGGCATATACCCAGGGGTGGGACTGGTGGATCATGGGTAATTCTATTTCCAGTTTCTTGAAGAAGAGACATAGCATTTTCCATAGCGGCTGTACCATTATACAGTGCCATAGCAACGGATAAGGGTTCCAATCTCCCCACTTCCTCGCCAACACTGGCTGTTATCTGGGTTTTTTTTGTTTTTTTTTTTTTGTGGTTTGAATTTTCATCAATGTCATTTTAGATGAGATGGTATCTCATTGCAGTTTTGATTTTCATCTCTCCAATGGCTAATGTAGGAGTCAAAATGAAGGAGCCAAAATATGGCACAGTGGTCAAACACTCGGCTGATAATTGCAAGGTCAGTGGTTCTAACCTAGCAGCTGTTCCAATGGAGAAAGATGTGGCAGTCGATTTCCATAAAGATTACAGCACTAGTGAGTGAAATAAGTCAATCACAGAAGGACAAATATGGTGTTACTTCGTTATTGTAAAAAGTCAAGGAAAGGTATGTAAGTATGGAAGGAAATTTTCTTTGTTAGTTATCAGGGATGAGAGGAGGAACACGGCAAAAATGTACAAAGATTACAGCACTGCAAACCCTATGTGGCAGTTCTAGTCTGTCCTATAGGATTGCTATGCATTGGAATCAACTTGTCTATACTGGGTTGGGCCTGGTGAAATGGCTAATCATTTTAAGAATCTTTTCATATGTTTATTGGCTGCTTGGATGGCCTCTTTGGTGATGGTTTGGGCAATGTGTTTTCAATACTACTCCCCAGAAAGTACTTGGCATGGAGCTCTCTTTTAAGCTGCTGGATTAAAAACACAAATTTACAAATCAACTGAGATATAATTAAGATTGCCCTCTTCTGTCCATTTAAAACAACATCTATAGGAATACATTTAACCCGACTTGTACAATGAAAACTGTAATACACTGCTGAAATAAATCAAAGACATGAATAATTAGAAAGACACCCTGTGTTAATGAATTAAACCCAAAACCGACTGCCATCAAAGTTGATTTCGACTCATAGTGACCCAGAGGGGCAGAGTGGAACTGCTCCATAGTGTCTTCAAGGCTGTCAATCTTTACAGACGCAGACCGCCTCATCTTTCTCCCATGGAGTGGCTGGTGGGTTCGAACAACTGACCTTCTGGTTAGCAGCTCAATGCCTTACCCACTGTACCACCAGAGCTCCTGTGAGAACACCTTCTCAAAGAGGTGATCTTCCACATGACCAGCCATTCATGAACCATAGAAGACATAATACTGTTAAGATTCCCATACTACCCAAAGTAATATACAGATTCAGTGCAACCTCTATCAAAACTGCACCAACTTTCTGTAGAACAGAAAAGCCAATCCTGAAATTGATATAGAATTGCAAGAGGCTCCAAACATACAAAGCAATCTTGAAAAAGAAGATAAAGTAGGAGGTCCCATACTTTCCAATTTCAAAATGTACTATAAAGCTACAGTAATCAAAGCAGTATGGCTAAAGCACTTGACTGCTAACCAGAAGGCTGGCGGTTCAAACCCACCAGCCACTTCTCGGAAGGAAGGTTGGGCAATCCTACTTCCGTAGTGATACTGCCTCGGAAAACCAAGGAGGGGTCGCTACGAGTTGGGGCCGACTCAACGGCACATAACAACAACAACAACATAGTACTGATATAAAGAAAGA